GGATACTATAGAATACCTACTCTCTTCTAACTACTAAACGTGGTAGAAATCGGGAAATCTCTGGTATTCCTATCCATTTACGAAAAGAATCAATCAAAAAAAAAAAAAAAAAAAACGAAAAATGATCTAATAAAACGTAAAAAAAATACAAAAAAAAAAAAAAAAATTAAACCTGAAATTAGAAGTAAGGTCTCTAACCTGTTTGTTTGTTTATAAGGTTTTGAATCAAGAGGTATTGGATGATAGAGGGAAGTTTGAAGTTTCACTCTGAAAAAATGAAAGTTTTGAAAAATTGAAGACAAGATTTCTGAAGATGTATGTCTTGCTCGCTATTTCAAGATATGAAGGTTTTTCGCGCATGTGACAAAGAATATGATCCGAATCGCATTCACTTCCGGCTGAGAAGTCTCAAGCCTAGAAGATCAACAAGTACTATAAAGCACAAGCATCAAGAGTCAGAATCGTTGGCCCCCGACCTGGACAAATATCAGTTGTTGGGGGTGAAACTGGCTGAACGTTTCAGAAATATCTTAAGGAAGCATCGAAAAATCTTTTCTAAGTAGGGAAGAGCGTAAAAGGTGCTCCAAGGTTTATACCGATCATATTCTTTCTCAATTGGTTTGGTTTACATACAATACAAATAATATTCGCTGCTATTAGATTCTCCTGCAAATAAATAAAATATTTCTACCTTCCCTGTCCATCCCATCCCTCCACCATCCTAAAACCTCCATCTCCAAAAAGGACAATTTTTTGATTTTATATGCAAATAATAACATTAAATTTTAATTTAAACTATTAATGCATATAAATTTTTATACATGCATATTTATATATATATAAATATATAAATATATATGGGTATATATTTATATTTATATTTATATTTATATAAACCTATGCTTTGCTGTTTGTCTTTTTTTTTTTTTTTTTTTTTAATATTATTGTTGCCATGACTATAATGATTTAACAATTGGAAATATTAACACATAACTTTCTGGAAAATATTATTATAACATGATTAATATTTATAATCAAAAAATTATAATCAGGAGATTTATTCGAGTAATCAATTAGAAACTATAAGCTTACTTTAGAATATGCGCATATTATATTTAAATTTGTTGTCTTTATACTTGCTGATATATTTGATAGAAGAGACTACTATAATCATTTTATTTTTAAATTTTTAACGAGTGAACGATAAACAAAACAAAATATTTCAATTATAATAACGAGGTTTGATTTTCCGTTACTTAAAACCATTAATTGATATTAATCACAAAAAATAATTAAAATGTCAATAACATTATTTTTTTTTTTTAAATTTATGTCTATAAGCTTTTTTTCTTGTAAAATTTCATTTATAAAAAATATTATTTTTGTAGCAATATGAAAATTTTATAAGAAGAAGTAATTCTAAAAATTTACTCATTGATTATATATTATTATCTCTATGATTTTCAATACACACGTATAAATATAATTATTCTTTGCATTGATAAATATTATCAATTGTAAAGGCTTTATCTATAAAATTAAGAAAATAAACATTCATTTCACATGATATAATGTACATTACTTATATTTATTAAAATAAAATAAATAATATACTTTAAAACTTGTAACATTTTCTTTTCCTTTTTAAAAATATGAACGTATATATATATATGTTATGTAACACAAATTAAGTTGTTATTTTAATACATAATAAAAGATATTGGGATATTTATATATATAAAGATAAGAAATATCTAGAAGCAGAGTTACTTTATTATTGGTATCACTGTCACAAATCAGTGTACCACCACTTCAATACATTTAAAGATTCTTTAGGTTAAGAATCGGTGTAAATACAAACATGCAACGACACGATTTCATAATACAAATAATTTTATTGCATATTATAATACTATGTCAAAATACATCAGTAGTTGCAGTACAAGAGGATCAATATCAAAATTATCCTGCTCAAGGTTTATATAATGTCAGTGATAATGTAGTAGTATTAAATGATACTAATTTTAAAACAAGTGTCTATGGAGATTCTAAAGGATGGTTAGTTGAATTTTATAATAGTTGGTGTGGATTCTGTTATCGTTTTGCACCCACGTGGAAGGCTTTTGCAAACGATGTTTATCGTAAGTATTTATTTTCCTAACGTTTATTATTCCAATTGATTACTTTGTATTTCTTTGCTTAACATAAAAAACAATTTGTGTTCTATAGATTAAATATATTTTCCAGCTTGGAGAGATATCGTAGTTATTGCAGCAATAGATTGCGCTGTAGACGACAACAATCCTATTTGTCGTGAATATGAAATAATGCATTATCCAACGCTTAAATATTTTCCTGTTAATGCGCATTCTTCTTTCATGGGTATAGTAGTCGAAAAAGGTGATAATATTGAGGGTGTTAGATACAATTTGATTAAGAGACTTGAAAAAGAACAAGAAGAGGGACGTGGTTTAACGTGGCCTAATATTACACCTTACAGGTAGAAATAAATTTAATTATATTATATTGTTTCATTTAATATTTTAATGATTTATTCAATTTGTTTGTAGGAATGCAGAGATAAAAGACATATGGAAGATAGTACCTAAAACTGTAAAATATTTCTTTCTGTTTTTTGAGAAAACAGACTCTCATTTGGGAACTGAAATCATATTAGATATGCATAAAATTACAAGCCTACAAATACGTAGGGTCACATCCGACAATGAATTGTTATGTGTAACAAGTCAAATCACAAAATTTCCAAGTATAAGTGTATTGAGCCAAGAAGAACCGCAAAAGCACTTAAATATTAGAACACCAACGAGAGAAGGTGTTAAACAAATTATTGGAAATTATATGCGTTCAAAGGGTATAAATATAGATGAACAAATTATTGTCAATCGCAATGTTGTCTCCTTAACTGCAAAACCAGATACAATAAATAATACTAAATCAAATTCCCATAAAGAGCAACAATATAACTCGGACATATTTGAAGATCATTTATACCAACTAGATTTGGAAAATGCGCTGCGATATTCCATTTATGACGAAATACCAATGAATAAAATTATAGAAGGAGAAAAGTTAGAGGCATTAAAGGTATACCTAAATGTTGTAGCCAAATATTTTCCAATGAGATACAGTAGTGTTTTTCTCGATGAAATTCGTAATGCAATCAATAAAAAAGATAAGATATACGGGGAAGAATTTCTTGAATTTGTCAAATCAACAGAGAAAAAAATGTCACCGGTATATTCGGGTCCGCAACAATGGATTGGATGTAAAGGAAGTAAAAAAGTATATAGAGGATATCCTTGTGGATTATGGACAATGTTTCACATGCTAACTGTTAATTTTGGAATGGAAAATAAAGACAAACGTCATTACAATCCGATTGAAGTATTACGAGCCATGTACAGATATATAACCAATTTCTTTGGTTGCACTGATTGTGCGAGACACTTTGCAGAAATGGCATCGAGAAACAAAATATATGAGGTACAGAATGGAGATGATAATATATTATGGTTATGGAAAGCACACAATGAAGTTAATGCAAGATTGGCAGGAGATGAAACGGAAGATCCAGAACATAAAAAAGTACAATATCCATTAAAAGAACAATGTTCCGAGTGCAGATACTCGAATGGAACTTGGAGAACGGATCAGGTTTTATATTATCTTAAAAGAAAGTACAGTTATGCGGGAATAAATTATTATGGATCTAGTGAAAAACAAAATAACGTTAAAAATATTGAATCGAAACTAAGACAAGGACAATTAGTCACTAACAAATATTTAAGTTTTAAAAAATTGGTTTGGGATTTTAATATATTTGATATAAGCATTTGCGTTATATTATACGTCACATCCGCTACTATACTCACACTCGTTTGCATTAAATTTGCTGTAAAAAGAAGTTACAGGAAAAAAACGTACATAAATTTACTCGGTAAAGTATAAATTTGTGCAATCTGTGTATACGTAGAATACATTTTTTTAAAATATTGTGTATATACACTAAACGTCTGTGTGTTCGACTGTACATATTATTCATATTGTTTAATAATCTAATAGTCTTTTTATATTTATCTGAATTTTTATATTATTGACTAAACAGATTTAATTCTTGTACTATCCCTGCAAGAATGATTTAACAAAATTGTACAGGTCACATGTATTTATATTATCAAATTATTCTTCTAAAAGTTTTAAATTATGCACATTATGAAACTTCCAATTGTACATTGTGATATTATTTTAAACATGATTTTTGACTAAATGTTTTAATTATTATGTTAAGTACTCTTCCGTTAGTATCAAATTTAATGCAAAAACTTCAATGTTACAACAATTGTAATGAAAATGAACGTTTATCGAATGATTGTGAATTGTAAATACTATTTTACAGCTGAAATTAAATTTTCCAAAAAATAACATAAATATAATAAATATACCTAAAATATATATATATATATACACGCAAACAAAACTTTATACATGAATATATAAATATATATATACATACGTACATATATTTCCAAAGTCTTCTAAATATACAATCAATAAGGGATATATATCAATAAAATTTGATTCAATCATTAGGATCAACTTGTATTGAGATTTGATATTCTTATTTGATTAAATATAACAAATCAAAATAATCACTTTATATAAATTTTATACAAGATGTTCGAGGTATTTTCTGCCAAGCCGTATTAGCGTATTTTATGTACAGAAGTAAAAAAAATATAACATTTGTTTCTTATTAAAAATCAATATAAAATGTTTTTCTTATTTTCGTGCGTAGAATATGCGAACAACATAGTTTGGCCTGAAAAACCTCAGACACTCTTTATGTGTATGTATATGTATTTATGCAGTAAAATGTTATAAAATTTTCAGTTATTTATATATAAGATTTATAAAAAATAATACACACTATTCGTTATTGATACAATGTACAGTATAATAATAAGTTCTATATGGACATTATTTATCTATTCATATTTTAAAAGAGTATACTTTGAACAACAATACCCGAAATAGTAGTTTAATACATTTTTATTTATAGTAATATGCAAAATAGGAAATACATTTTACTTCTTTAAAACATATTCCAGTATCTTGCCAAATATATATATATATATAGTATATAATATATATATTTATATCTTATAGAATCTTAATATATAAATTATCAGTCAACATTAAGAAATTTCATTGTACAATATACATAAGTATGTATATATTAGGTATGATTGAATGATATAAGAACATGTCAAAAAATATTTATAAAATACAGTTGAACTTGTAGATCTTGTAATATCATAATTATTGAGAGAGAAAATTTACATTAAAAAAAAATAAAGGATTTTTAAATGAAATAAAAATTAAAGAAAACGTACATATTTTGTATATCTTAAATTAAAAGCTTAAATGTAAAGCTTAAATTTAAAGAAATCATTTGCATTTTAAAATTATTCAAGTTAGAAAAGTTCAATTGCATTTCAGATAAACAAATGTATATCAATTCATTTACATTTTGCATTATTAATTTTCCATTCACTTTTTGTATCCCACGTAATACCGTCGTGCGGTAATTGTGATTTTATATATGGAACCAACCATGTTAAATACCATCGTTCACCAAGAACTTCCTTTATATTTTGTCGCCAACCTAGATCATAAGTACGTCTATTTTTATTACTTTCATCTGCAACGCATCCATTAAGAACTAATTGAAAATGGTAAATGCATAAGATGCCTGTAAATAACATTCCTATAACTGATACAATATAAAGTAACAAATAAAATTGTTCGATAGAACCATCAAATCCAAATACAAATATTGCCAATGGAAATATTATTTTTATAATGGACATTGGAAACTCGAAATGAATTCTAGACCAGATAAAAAAGTTATTGTAACAAAAGGCATAGACGGTAGCAATGAATAAATATAAAAGAAACATAATAAAATATCTATGATTGAAGTAACCGACACAACAGCCAGTAAAAATACAATGATGATCACGCTTCAGAATACAAGTTTTACATGTTGAACAGTGCCAAGAGCGAGGAGGAGCAAGTATTTCACAAGTTGTGCATAATCTCCATCCATCCTTAGGGTTTGCAGTGCTTACTGGTACAATAGTCCTATTAATACTAGTGTCGCACAATACTGCATACGTAAAGTTACCCACGATGTTCAACATTATAAAATTACCCAAAATAAAGTGGCAAAAATATGGTATTGTATTATATTCATACAATGCGGGTAACACTATCCATAGTTCAAACCAATAAATCAATGGTACGATTGTTAATATAAATACCATAGAAGCAAAGTCACTAAATGTGCGAGGCCAAATCATTTTGCGAATGATCATTTTGATAATTATTACTGTACAGTTTTGTATCCACACATACACTATTTTCCAATAGATTCACACAATAAAGTTAATTAACACTACGTCGTTATTAATATTATTTTTCTTTTCCACATGGATAAATATATCAAACTTACATGCTGAAATATATCTTTTTACAAGTTTTTTATCCCTTTCTTCTTAAATCGTATTCTTGTATAAATTATTAATAATTCCTAATATCCAATTAAAAGAGGAAGAAACTTGTTAGCTTCCAGTATTTATCCTTAATGTTGTTCATAACTTTATCAAAGATTTCTTCTCTTTCGTTTATTAAAATGTTCATGAAAAAGATAAGGAACATATATTATTTAGTTCCTATTTATAACACAATGCATTAGAGAGATTCATTTAAATTTTGTATAATTTGATACAATTTAGAAATTATGGCAGAAGGCACGTGATTTCTTATACAAGAAAAGTATCTAAGATGCGCGTTGAATTGTTAAAAGAACTATTAGTGCCACTTGGTGTTGCAGACAGAGAACTAAAATCGTTGAAAGTTTACCTAAAATCTTATATTATCTATGATCATTCCAAGCAGAATTAAATGGTGGGGATTAGAGTACAGACAGCAAAGAAAGTATAGATATTGATAGATACAAGCAAGCCTATTGAGAATAGCGCCTCATAGAAGGGTTCTAACTTTGATCGTGTCAATTTTCGTACTCTTTGAATTTATTAATTAAAAATATGTCCAAGTATAAGATTGTTATGGTTCGCCATGGCGAGAGCGAATGGAATAAATTAAATCTATTTTGCGGATGGTACGATGCTAATTTATCTGACAAAGGTAAGAGATTCTAAATAATACTGATATAGAAAATTTTTGCAAGGACAAAAAGGTCATGAGATCTTTAAAAATGTCCTAGCATTTTCAATTTTTTACTATTTTCTTTTTAATTGTTATAAATTTACTACATATATATGTCTTAAAATACGAGCCTATTGAATTTATTACATAAAATATCTTTTTTTTCCAATTTTTAAGATATAACAAACCTTTATAGTCATTCATTTATTTATCTATTCATTTATATGTTATGACTATATGTTTGCTGTTTTATATAATAAATATTCAACAGGTAAAACGGAAGCTCTGTCAGCTGGAAAAGCCGTTAAAGAAGCAGGTCTTACTTTTGATGTCGCTCATACATCTGTCTTGACGAGAGCTCAAGAAACTTTGAAATCTATTTTGAAAGAAATAAATCAAGAAGATATTCCTATTTTTAAAACATGGCGATTGAATGAGCGTCATTATGGTGGTCTCACCGGTATGAACAAAGCAGAAACTGCAGCTAAATATGGAGAGGAACAAGTACAAATTTGGAGAAGGTCTTTTGATGTACCACCACCTCCAATGGAATCTGATCATAAATATTATGAGACGATAACTAAGGATGCTAGATATGCTGCCGAACCTAAGCCTGAGGAATTTCCTAAATTTGAATCCTTAAAATTAACCATAGAAAGAACTCTGCCTTATTGGAATAATGTGATCATACCACAATTGAAAGAAGGAAAAAAAATCATTATTGCTGCACATGGAAACAGCTTGAGAGGAATAGTCAAACATCTTGATGGTATGTATATTCGTTATTGTATAAATTATTACCACAAGATAGAATCTACAATGAAACAATAATATTTTATTTTACAGAAATGTCAAACGATCAAATCATGGGATTAAATCTACCAACTGGTATTCCTTTTGTATATGAGCTGGATGAAAATTTCAAACCAGTTGTCTCTATGAAATTTTTGGGCGATGAAGAAACTGTCAAAGCAGCAATGGCTGCTGTCGCTGCACAAGGAAAAGCAAAATAAAGTGTTCAAGATAATCGTTCTCTAATATCAATTTTTAGTTAAATATTGTACAAAATCTAAGATCACAAATAATTTCAAATATTGGTTTAGGAAAATATAACTAGATAAAGAAACGAAGAAAATGTTAAATAAGAACATTAAAAATGGCCCAGTTATTGATGCTATTTATGCCCAAAAGTCACTGCAAATATATTTTTTGTTAAGTATGTACATAATATGCATTTATGTACATATTAAAAAGTATTATAATAATCCAACATCCTATGTATAATTTTGACAATGTTTTTTGACAAGCAAATACATTATTGTCTCGTAGAGAATATTCTATTCTTTTATTATTTAAAAAACAATTATTTATGACATAATATTAAAAACTATTTATTTACTGTATCTATTTTATGAAAATTAAATATATAAATAAATATGAGACAAGATTATATTTATTTACATCCGTTCTTTAAAAATTAATTTGAAATTATAAATTAGAATGAAAATATCTTTGAAAATATTGAATAACTGTTAAATAAAATTATTAAAAAGTATGAAGTAAGTTTTCAATTTAAAATAATTAACTTGAAGGAAAAGAGGTCGTGACTGACAGTGTATGCAGAGCTTGTTGTTAGTACTTCAAGAATTGTTCAATTTCGTCTTTCTATATAGGTTATATTTCATTGGATTCTTACGAATTTCTTTATCTAATATAGGTTAACGCATTAAATGCAACGAATGTTTTCTACAATAAGAACGCTTTACTTCATGTGATTAGTGGTGCATTCGTTACAAATTAAAATATATACCTTCTTTTTCAAAACATTAATATATACAATTTAACAAACAATGAGTTCGGATAATGAAGAATTAAGGTTGACAGTTGAAGAAGATGATCTTCTTAACGAAATACTATGTATGAATACTAATGTAAAGACAACTAAACAATCGAAAGAATCTTTCAAAATAGATGACAAATCAACAAATAAAACTAATAGTACAAACGAACCTGTAAGTCAAATAAAAAAATTAAAAATTAATGCTACTCAACAAACCAAACAAAAGGACGAAAATAATGAAGAATGTCCCAAGGATGAAAATAATGAAAAATCTAGCGAACAAGAAGTTGGGTCGGTTCAACCAAAAATACAAAAAAGGCAAAGAGATAGATTGGAAACACGAGATCCCAAAATCTCATGTCTTAGACACAACGATGAGTCAAGTTCTACAAACAATAGTACAAAATCGTATTCAGGAGAAGACGATAAAAAAAATGTAGAATATGAAACTGATCCTACAGTACTTGCACGCAGGCAAAAGGATATAGATTATGGGAAAAATACTATTGGATATGATCGATACATTAAAATGGTTCCTAAGTAATAATTCAATTAACTAAATTAATTTTTAAAGACCAATGATTTTTATAGATAATCTTTTTATTACATTATTTTATTATATTAGTATTTTCTTGATGAATATATTTGGTATTGTTTTAATTTAGGGAACAACGTACAAAAGATCATCCAAGAACTCCCCCAAAATATAATAAATATAGCAGAAGAGGATGGGATGGAATGATTAAACTATGGAGAAAACAACTTCATAATTGGGATCCTCCAAAAGAAAACGAAAATACTGAACAATGTTAATTAATTAAGTTGGTCTTTTTTTTATATGAATACAATAGAAATAAGGTATTGAATTATAATTAAAAAAGGTATTATATTATAAATTATAAAACTATATACAATACTCTATTCGTAAATATCGTTATTTAAATTTAATTTCAAGTTTTTCAAGTATAACGTTTAACTTTTGATTAATGTTGTGTTCAATTTCGTTTAATCTACGCATGGTTCTTTCTTCCATTTCATGGAACTTATTATTAATATAAGTTTCAATGTTATCTGTGATTTCTATATTTTTACAATCATCTTTGGAATTAAGATCTGCCTTTTTAGTCTCTTCAATTTTATTTTTATGATTATTTTGTACTTTTGAATTATTGGAAATAATAGTCATAAGGTTTCTTAGCGGTAAGATTTCATCGCTAATAGTATTCTTATCTTGTTTAACAGATTCTAACATAATATTAGCTATGGCTGCTTTCTGTTGTACAGAACCATTTAAGTTATTCAAAAAGTTAGTTATCGTGTAATCAAGTATTTCTGATTCATTTTCTTTAGTAGATTCTGTTAATACAAGTTTTATACCGAATATCCATATTACAGGTTCTGTGTTTTTTATTTTCGTAAACTGAAAGATAAAAATGAAAAAGAATAAAGTACAATTTAATAAGAAAATAAATATTCTTATCAAATAAAATGATGTATTACTTTAATACTGGCCTCGATGGTAGGATGTTCAAAATTTACTTCGGCTAAATATATACTACTTCCTTTAAACTCGTCTACAAATTCTGCGAATATTGTAGTTGCATATTCTCCATACTGTTTAAAAAATTCTAAAACATATGCTTCGGATAAAACAATGATGCGTGATATTTTGTAATTATTTGTTATTTTTATGTCCAATGTACATGGTTCTGTCACTTGTTCCTCGGAGCGTAAATAAATACATGTATCCAAGGAAATGATA